GTGCATAGCACGTTCCAAGAAACTCGACTCGGCGAGCGACGATCCGAGTTCGCGGGGCGCCAAATCGCTAACGTGTCAGCTGAAGGAGATGGCACTGAAGGCTTCGGGATCGTACAAGCAGTGCGGTCCGTGCGCGCTGCCGCAGAGTCGACTGAGTCGCGGTGGCGAGTCCGATTCGGAGTCGTCGCGGCGGCGGTGGGGGAAGGAGATGGAGGCTCGGTTGAAGGGGATTTCGAGCGGCGAGGGGACGCCGAGCTCCAGCGGGAGGAGAATGGTGGTGGTGCTGGAAGAGGAGGCGGAGCCGAAGGAGTGGGTGGCGCAGGTGGAGCCTGGCGTTTTGATCACGTTCGTATCGCTTCCGCGTGGCGGGAACCATCTCAAACGGATTCGGTTCAGGTACGCAATACGCATCTCTTTCAGTTTCACTCTCACTCTCACTCTCACTCTGTGTCGTTTTGTTGATTTGGTTGCCGTTTAGAGTTTGGACCTGAAGTGTGGGTTGGTCCATGCTGGACCGAGTCTCTCTGATTCTGTCCAGCGCCCTACTGATTCTGATTGTGATTGTGATACTCTGTTTAGCTTTCGTTATCTCATGCATACCAATGTTAATTAATGCTTCCATTTAATCCAATTAATACGTATTTTTGTTAAAAGTTATCAGAACTTTATGTTATATTTCAAACCTAAGAAACTATTGATTTTAGTTTTTATGTTGTTGTTTGATCTTGATTTTCATCTATGTTGTTTTTTAAAACCAAAAATGAAAATTAATAGGGATGTGTTTACATGGATGATGGTTGGTTTTATTTTATTTTACCTTTTTAAATAATTGTTTCATGGAATTGAAAAAATATATAATCTTAAATTTAAATTAAGGGTTCTTTTTTTAGAAGTAAGCTTGTTTTTAAGAAATTAATTTATTTTATATATTTTTGACACCTGATTCACGTTGGTAAAATATATTTTTGACATATATTTAGTACTCAGAGATAAATAGAATTTATCATAAAAGAGGAGAAAATTAATAGGAGAACACTGGAACTCTTTAAAAAAATGAAAAAAAANATGATCTAATGTTTTATTGTCATGTCAATATTTCGATGCAAAAGACTCAAATCTTAAATTTATGATCTTCTATAATGACTTCTGCAATGAAGATTTATAAATTTTAAATATAGAACGACTAAAATAATTTGGGCTAAAGTAATAGCTAACAAACTTTCTGGAAAGATATTTTGATAGACATGAACATATTCTCAGTTCATTGAAGAGTTTGGACTCCTCAGTGACATTAATGAGCTAAAACATATTTTTAATCCATTAAAACAAATATATTAAAATTTATATAACTTTCTCATTTTCAAACCAAACCATTTGATATGAGATTAAAATCAAAGTTTTTGAAATCTTTTCTAAGGGTGAGGTTAGCACTCACTTGTAAATAAGCTCTAACCTGGTTTTAATACCATATTAGAAAGTGAGTTTAGGCCTAACTCAACCCCACAAAACCGGCTTGTAAGGTGAGGTTTGCACCCACTTATAAACTATGAATTGGTCTTATCTCTAGTCGATGTGGGACTTTCAATAGTCTTTATACTGTCTCTATATAGAGTTTCCAGTTATAGTATAATACATGGTGCTACTCAAAGTGTAATAAAATATTCTAAGGTTCAAGATTTGGTTTCTTGAGTTGTTTACTTCATATTTTTTTTGTTTGTATGCTTGTAAACACCGTAAAACTTTTAGTGTGAACTTAGTTAATGTGATTGAATAATTAGACGTAGCTCTTAGATAAAAGTGAATCGATATAAAATTTTGTTATCTCTCTTTATCATTCGGTTCTTAACATGGTTTGGTTTATTTTTACATATAAATTTGAAAGAACAAAATATTGAAATTAGAAAACTTAATAAGTTTAATAAAATTGGAGTTAGTACAATTTATTTACTCTCGAACTTAGTCCTTTAAAACTAACATAAATGATAAGGAAAAATGCATAGATTGGATAAATATTTAATTTTAGCTCCCAAGGTCAATAAAGGGAATCTTTATAGGTGACAATATATTTTAAAGATTTTATTGAATGGCATATTATTGGTGATGCATGTCATATTTCAAATATCTTATTTAGGAAAGTTGTTAGCTTGTATGGTTTTCATGGAAATATAATAATGTATATTAGATATTTAATTAAAACTTTAGGTCACTTTTGGAAGATCTTATAAAAACATTTTGGAAATAAACTTCTTTTTATTATCACTTTGTCATCTACAAATTAGTTGTTAAACAAAGCTAAACTTTTTAAGAACCTAAGAAAGTGACAAGAACTTTTTTTCTTATGAAGTTTTCATTTATTAGAGTGATTAAGACAACAATTTATCATTCTTTTCTCAATGTCGTGTATTGAATTCATTGACACACTAGTACAAAAATCGCGTACAACGTCGAATATTTTGGGCTTTTAATGACGAATTTGCGAACGACGTCATATCAGGAGATGTTAAATTTACGTCGAATTTTGTTAATATGTGATGTTAACTTAACGTCGAATTTTGTCAATATTCGACCTTAATAAATTTTTTTGTTTTTTTTAAATTAATTATGATCTTTTTTACAACTCTATTAGGGCCTGAAAAGCAAAAAAAAAAAACAAATTTCAGTGTTTGATATTTTATAAAGCATGAACTATGAACGTGTAGTGTAGTATCAACTACAAACAATAATAATCAACAACAGACAAGTTCAACCAAACAACAACAAACAAGTTCAACCAAACAACAACAAACAAGTTCAACCAAACAACAACAACAAACAAGTTCAACATAAAAGAAACAACAAACAAGTTCATAAGTTCTTCAAAACGAAAACTAACATTCAAAAGGTGGGTTCATCGGAATAAAGTTTCGTCACTAGTGAGAGAGAAAGCATAATGCGCCTATGAAGGAGAAGAGCACGAAAATAATCGGTTAAAACAAACAAAAATCATACATAAAGCAGTTAATTAACATGCATTTGTATCAAATGAAAGAAAGATTACATGTGATGCTCGTCAAACTTCGTTCGAGAAAAGCTTGAGAAGAGAGGAGGGTATCGCGCGCTAAGATAAAGTGAATGAATTTTCAATCTCCCGCTCAAACTTTTATTGAATTCACTAACCTTTTGACGTCGAATTACAATTCTAAACAACGTTTAATAATTACATTTATTTACAAAAATGTCACCACTCATTTTTAATGTTAGCTATTCAGTGGTTGAACGTTAAACGCGTGACATTATAAGTTGTTTTTGTACTAGTGACACCACCTTATGACCTTATACCTCTTCCAAAATTTGACTATATGTTGCATAATGATAGTTTAGAAAAATCACAATTTGCAATGAAATTTGATGTAGGTCTCTCTTGGAGATAGCATGAAAACTTCATGAATGATCAGTAATGGTTTTTAACCAAAGACAAAAGTAAACAATAAAACAAGGTAAAATTGAAAATAAAAAATGGTTATGGTGGAAAAGATAAAGAACTCACCAAACTAGTTCACAAACTAAGGGTAGACGCTACAAAAAAAAACTCTCAAGGTAAGAACTCATTAAAGAGAATTGAGGTACAAAAAATAAAAGAAAAGGAAACAAATATGGGGGTACAAAAAATAAAAGCGGAAAAAGAAAAGGAAAATAACTAGAGTGTGAAAAAGACAATAGAGGATGAAGAACTTGTGTTGTGAGAATGGAAGTTTTAGGGAATAAGATGGTGGTGATGAAGAAATCAGATGGAAGAGAAATAATAAAAGGAATAATTAAATGGAGAAAAATTATAAAGAAAAATGGGTGAAGAAATCAAATGAAGAAAATGATTGGAGAAAAATAATAAAAAGAACGAGTGGGATAATTAGATGCAGAAAAATGATACAGAAAAATAGGTGAAAAAATTAGATGGAAAAAATAAAAATAAAAATAATAGAAAATGAGTGAGGTAATTGGATTGAGAAAATGAAAAAAAAAATGATAAAAAAAATGAGTGGGATAATCAGGGTGGTTAATTGAAATATAGGATAAGTGTAATTATTAAAAATGTGTTGGGTTTGACAAAGGGGTGTAAACAGTAAAAATATATTGAATTAGTTTACCGTTAAAAAGAAAGAGTAAAAATGAAAAACAAGTGAGATTTCAAAATGGTAAATTTAGGGGTGCAGAAAGTAAAATAATTATTTTTTTAAAGAGAGAGCTAGGCCGACAAAAAGTCGAGCTCTTTTCCTTTCTTTTTTTCTTTTCTATTTTCTTTGTATCTCTTTTTGAATAAAAATTTATTTAATTAAATAATTTTTTTTTTGCTTGTTATATTTTTTCTCTTATCTTGCTACACCTAATTTATTTAAACTTTTTGTAATATGACTTTCACAATACAAAAAATAAAGTGATTCATAACTAACTTGAATTTATATTTGCTTTTTTATGTTCCAATCTTCTCATGCATGTTTGAATTTTATAATGTATTTTACGAACTTTTACTTTTTGTTCACTTGAGTGATGGAGTGAATTTAAAGATAAATTTTATTGTTATTTATTTGAGTGAATTTGGAGGTAAGTGAGAGTGATTTTGGAAGCAACGTTTGTAAGAATTAGTGTAGTATTTGATTGATGAGATAAATTAAAAAAATTTATTTCAAAGTTCATTCTTACCTACCTTTAAATCCACTCAAATAAATAACAAAAAAAGTTTATTTTCAAATTCCTTTTCAAATCCATTTAATCACTCTCCTCAAAATCCATAAACAAAGTCTTATACTTTCATACAACTGAAAAAAAAAATAAAAGTCATATATTATATTTATTTGATAAGACAGTATTATCATATTATATTTGATGAAATAAAATCATATTATAATAAAATAAGATAACCGTTATATTTTATCTGTTATACACTTCACCAAAATAAAGATAATGAACTCGAATTAAAGCAAAAACTATCACGAAATATTAAACTTTATTAAACTATCACAGAGAAACAAATTCCGCTGTTTAAAATTCGCCTCTTTCCAAATTGATTTCGCAAAGATTAGAAGAGAAGTCGCTGGCAATACAGCAGAAAAGTTGTGCGGTTATTTCGTAGAAACTGATTAAACAACAACGCAACTGTGGGTCCCACACCGAGTGCAGCACGTGTGGGAAACGGCGGTGATAATCGTTCGTCGATGATTCCTTCATTCAACGCTTACCGCGTAAGCAACCTTCGATCAAAAGCATAATCACCCAATACCAAACCCAGCGCATAACATAACGAGATCGGAGGCTTTTACGTTGTTCTTTCGTCTTTTGGATTTTCCATTGGATCTCTGCTGAGGTTGTTCTTCCCACTCCATAACCATGAGTTTCATCTTCGGAAAGAGAAAAACACCCGCAGGTTTGTAAATCATCGCCTTCTCTGTTTAAAAATCGAATTCCGTGATTTTTCAAAATGGGGTTGCTATCTTTTGATTACAGAGTTATCACTCGTCATCAAAATCTTTGCTTTTGTAATATTATGTTCAATTGAACAAAGCAGATGCACTGCAAAACTTGTTCGGTCGTTTATGCAAAGTTAAATTCTTTGGATGATTATTTTCCGACCATTTGATTTTATTTTTCTTCTTTCTGTTGTGATTGCTGTATTGCATGTTTAACTACGATCTGTTGTATTTTTTTCTCTTGTTATCTTGTCTCCTTGTTTTGATAAGATTCAGAGATTTCCTTAAGATTTGTACTTTATATTCCTTTTCTTTTCAATTTCAATTAGAATTATGCTTTGAACTATTGGAATTATGATTTTAGTGATCCACTGGCGGGCACGTGAAGTTGTTTACTTTATTCAAACGAGAGGTGTCTTTGAGAGGGTTATTGCAAGTATCCAACATGCGTTAACATGTCTTTGATTGATTTGGTCTCATTCAGTAACACTGCATATTGATTTCATAGTACCTGAACATATAGTGTGTGACTTTCAGAACTTCTGCGGGAAAATAAGAGGATGCTGGACAAATCAATTAGAGAAATTGAGCGCGAGCGGCAAGGTTTGCAAACACAAGAGAAGAAATTGATTTTGGAGATAAAGAAAAGTGCTAAACAAGGCCAGATGGTATAGTGATTGTGTCCTAAGTCTATTATTTGTCTAGTTTTTAGTGGTATATATGGTTAACATATCTTTTTGTCAATATGTTAGTTTAGCATTTTTATTATGCAAATCTATAACACATAACGTCTGCTGTTTGGTAAAGGATTTGGAATGGAATTTTCTGCTCTTCCCTAGAAGGAGGGAGAGGCATGAATGTGTTAGCTGTTGTGATGATATTGTTTTTCTAATTCTCACAACTTCCTTGTTCTTTGCTGTGTCTTGTTTGTAACTGATACCTGTGGTTGGGGAAGTTTGTTCTACTTAAATGTTATCACTTGTATTAACCAAATTCACATTGATTTTTGGGATGAAACTTTTGTTGTTGCTGTTTTTTCCACGAGCAACTCCTTCCCTAGCGCTATTGCAGACTCAATGTGATGCCTGTTGCTCTAATGCATTTGCTAATTACTGTTGCAGATCAACTGTGGTGCTTAATTTTTCAATTATTGTTCAAAAATCCATAAGATAAATAAATGGGACTACCATTTTCGTTAATTGGAACTCCACTACATCCTCTTTGGTTGTATTGATAGTAAGTGTTAGTAGAAGCACTCACTTTAGCTATTTAACTTGGTTCTAGGTCGTTGCAGTAGTTACAGCTGTAACAGTCAACTGATAACTGACAGATTGCCAGGCTGGCGATATTGTTATGAATCATAAGTATATAATTACCATAACATCGCTTTAGAACAACATAATAAAATCATTCTGTATCATTTGAGGAAGTCTCCTCTCCTCTCTTCACTTTTTTTTACCACTCTAGTTTATATCTTTCTGTTTTTACTACTGAATTCTATTATGGTATCACAAACTTGCGAATGATCCTGAGCCATGACCATTGACCACACTTGCAATCTGTTCAACTCAGCTGATCATGGGGCTTTATCATCAACGTTCTCTACTGCTCCATTGATGTTTTCACAATCTGTCTCAGTGACTCGGAAGAGTTTTCTTCTCTTTAAACAGCAAGTTGAAGCTATCATTGCTTGTATCAATGTGTAGTTCATTCAGGAAGTCCACTTTGGAAAAACCTATAAAGCTTACCAGAAACAGGAGCAACAAGATGCACTCATGCATGCCACAGCTCTCTTAAACCCCAATTGGCACTCAGCTGTGCAAGAACTTTCAGCTCTTTTTGCCAATAGTACTTGGACTTCAATACCCTTAGACGAAGAAACTGTATGGTCCAGCCTTCAGGATTTGAAGCAGTTAAAAACTCTCTTGCNCGGAACAAAACATAATCATATTGGTCGAATAACATCGCAAAAAAAAAAAAAGACAATGGAGTTGGCCAAATAAAGACAAAACAACAGAAAATAAGAATGTTCAACTTTCGATATTCTGTCATTACTTTTAGATTAATATTGCATTGTTAATTTTCAAAATTCTGATGCTAAGTGTCATAACGCTTCATTCTCAGTTATAGTTCGTATGATAAGATGCCTTAAAAACTGGGACGTGAACTGAATTATGGTTTATTTTTCATGTGTAGTCGCGATATATTTAACAAATGGCAAGCTCAGAGGTGGTGGGCAGAGAATTACGACAAGGTGATGGAACTTTACAATGTTCAAAGGCTTAACCGGCAAGCTATCCCTCTTCCAACTCCACCAAGGTCTGAAGACGAGGTATCGTATGAACTTATTGAGCTCCTATGTTGTTCACCGTTTTGTAATTGTCTGCATCATGTTACTTCACCCAAATGATTATTTTAGGTACTTTTATTCTACAATGTATACATTTCTTACGTATCTGCATGTATAATAACATGAATCACTTGGGTTAGAACTTAGAATCATTACACACCTACAAGCTCTTAGAATCATTACTGCTCACTTGTCTCCATTTTCTCTTAGTTTACCAAGGCGAAAGTTTTAACTAGTGTTGTTGATTTATTTTGGTGTGTGGGTTGAACGCAGAGCTCGAAGCGTGAATCAATAGAAGAGATCCCTGTGACACCTCCGCTGAGCAGGGAAAGGCCACCGTGTAATATATTCCGTGGAGGAGGAGGAGGGGTGGCAATGGGGTACTCATCCTCTGATTCGTTCGATCAGCATTCAATGCAATCCCGGCATTACTATGATCCGAGTGGTGTGAACTCAACCCCGAAGGTGTCGACCATTAGTGCTGCTGCGAAGACAGATATCTCATCATCAATGGATGCCGATGCTTCTATCAGAAGTAGCTCATCTAGGGAAGCTGATCGCTCCGGCGATTTATCAATCAGTAATGCCAGTGACCTCGATGCTGAATGGGTCGAGCAGGATGAACCTGGGGTTTACATTACCATCAGAGCTCTCCCTGGTGGCAAAAGGGAGCTCAGACGAGTAAGGTTCAGGTATGACATTTCAGTTGCTGTATTGTGATGCAGAAGTTTATAAAATTTATGTTGAAAGTCCCATTTCAACTCATATAATGTCAATACAGGCCAATTTAAAAGATCTATGCAAACCTCGTCTTATAAACTAGTTTTATAAAATTGAGTTAGACTTAAAGTTTAGTTCTTAACATGATGTTAAATTCATGGGTTATAACCTATCCTAATAAGATTTATAAGTATCACGTTGACTAGATATAAAATCAATTTAGAGTATATATATAAATACAAATCTTACTTTATAAGTTAGTTCTTAGAGGTTGAATTGAATTTAAAGTCTACTTCTTAAGAATTTATGTGTTTTGTTTGTTGCAGTCGAGAAAAGTTTGGGGAGGTGTATGCTAGACTGTGGTGGGAAGAGAACCGTGCCAGAATACATGAACAGTACTTGTGAGATTCATTAAAGGGGTGGTGGTTGTGGAGGTGATCTATCTTTTTAATTTTCTTAATTATTGATGATCTATATGTTTTTGCTATATATGTATGTCATCTATTCCAGTTGTTTTCTTTAAACCAGGTAGCAATTGTTTTGTTCCATGCTCATAAGTAATGAGTGTAAATAACATAGATCTTAAATTGGGCACAAAGAATGACTCTACTCTTTTTATCTTGCAACTTCTACATTTATTATAACTGTTCAACTACAATTTGCCTTCAAAGATACAACATCTTAAGGAAGGTTGAAAAAGCTATTGATAAAAGGTCGTATATTACTATTAGCAGTATCAGAAGAAGAATTGAAGATATGAACACGAGCAATTGTGGGTTTACTCAATTAAATTAGTCCAAAATGACGAAATGCTCTTAAGTAAAGTTGAATTAGTAACTCTATTCTATTAACTAAGAAGGTCTTAATTTACTTTTTGTGACTTCTATTTATATCACATTACTTTTAAGGTTTCGTATATATACTTTTCTTTTTCAATTCAAGGATCTTATAATAAGATCTCGTTTAATGATAATATTATTTACAGTTCAACTTAAAATATTTATTATTATGGGATATTCTTTTGAAATAAAGACTACTTTGAAAAAAGAAACATTCCTATGATCTAAGGTTTTATTTATTTGTTTATTATTTATGATCTAATGTTTTATTGTCATGTCAATATTTCGATGCAAAAGACTCAAATCTTAAATTTATGATCTTCTATAATGACTTCTGCAATGAAGATTTATAAATTTTAAATATAGAACGACTAAAATAATTTGGGCTAAAGTAATAGCTAACAAACTTTCTGGAAAGATATTTTGATAGACATGAACATATTCTCAGTTCATTGAAGAGTTTGGACTCCTCAGTGACATTAATGAGCTAAAACATATTTTTAATCCATTAAAACAAATATATTAAAATTTATATAACTTTCTCATTTTCAAACCAAACCATTTGATATGAGATTAAAATCAAAGTTTTTGAAATCTTTTCTAAGGGTGAGGTTAGCACTCACTTGTAAATAAGCTCTAACCTGGTTTTAATACCATATTAGAAAGTGAGTTTAGGCCTAACTCAACCCCACAAAACCGGCTTGTAAGGTGAGGTTTGCACCCACTTATAAACTATGAATTGGTCTTATCTCTAGTCGATGTGGGACTTTCAATAGTCTTTATACTGTCTCTATATAGAGTTTCCAGTTATAGTATAATACATGGTGCTACTCAAAGTGTAATAAAATATTCTAAGGTTCAAGATTTGGTTTCTTGAGTTGTTTACTTCATATTTTTTTTGTTTGTATGCTTGTAAACACCGTAAAACTTTTAGTGTGAACTTAGTTAATGTGATTGAATAATTAGACGTAGCTCTTAGATAAAAGTGAATCGATATAAAATTTTGTTATCTCTCTTTATCATTCGGTTCTTAACATGGTTTGGTTTATTTTTACATATAAATTTGAAAGAACAAAATATTGAAATTAGAAAACTTAATAAGTTTAATAAAATTGGAGTTAGTACAATTTATTTACTCTCGAACTTAGTCCTTTAAAACTAACATAAATGATAAGGAAAAATGCATAGATTGGATAAATATTTAATTTTAGCTCCCAAGGTCAATAAAGGGAATCTTTATAGGTGACAATATATTTTAAAGATTTTATTGAATGGCATATTATTGGTGATGCATGTCATATTTCAAATATCTTATTTAGGAAAGTTGTTAGCTTGTATGGTTTTCATGGAAATATAATAATGTATATTAGATATTTAATTAAAACTTTAGGTCACTTTTGGAAGATCTTATAAAAACATTTTGGAAATAAACTTCTTTTTATTATCACTTTGTCATCTACAAATTAGTTGTTAAACAAAGCTAAACTTTTTAAGAACCTAAGAAAGTGACAAGAACTTTTTTTCTTATGAAGTTTTCATTTATTAGAGTGATTAAGACAACAATTTATCATTCTTTTCTCAATGTCGTGTATTGAATTCATTGACACACTAGTACAAAAATCGCGTACAACGTCGAATATTTTGGGCTTTTAATGACGAATTTGCGAACGACGTCATATCAGGAGATGTTAAATTTACGTCGAATTTTGTTAATATGTGATGTTAACTTA